ACACACACACACACACACACACACACACACACACACACACACACACACAGATTGTATACAAGTTATATAAGCTGTAAGGTGCAATATAAAGAATCAGGTCCAAGGAGCAAGTGGTCAGTTTAATATAAGGTGCAATGTAATCAGTGGTAGTGCACACTGAGTAAGAGGTAAAGACTAGAGGTTGCATTATACTATAATAAGTACGGTTTATAAATAGAGGTGGGAATGTTATTTATAAATACAGTGAAAATATCCAAAAAGGTTAACAGCTCAGTTAACCTTCAATCAGGGTGGAGGTTAGGCATGTTTGACAGCCTGTGGGTAAAAACGTTTATTGCGTCTGTTTGTTGACCTGATCGACCTGTAGCAATTTACCAGAGGGAAGGAGGGAAAAAAGTGAGTGTCCAGGGTGCAAGGGCTCCTTGATGATGATACCGGCTTTCCGCTGAAGTCTGCCAGTATAAAAGTCTCTGAGGAAGGTTAATGCAGTGCCTATTGCCCACTCTGCCGCCCTCAGCAACCGCTGCAGTTTTTTCTTGTCCTCCATGGTAGAGCAGTTAAACCAGACTGTACAGCAGTACTTAGTACACTCTCAGTAATTAGCTGTTTTTGAGGTAAATGGGCCTGACGCAACTTCCTGAGAAAGTACAGCCTTTGTTGTGTTTTTTCTACCTGGTGAGAAATGTTTGTGGACCAGGTGAGGTTGGCCGAGATATGGACCACGAGGAACTTGAAGCGTTCTACCCTTTCTACCTCTTCCTCATCGATATAGAGGGTAGAGTGCTCCAATCGCTTTGTTCTCCTCAAGTCAATTATCATCTCCTTGGTCTTGGCTGTGTTCAGATACAGGTTATTGTTGTTGCTCAGATGCTGAACCGCCTCTCTGTAGACTGAATCACTGTTCAGTCTACTATCGATATCGATAGTAGTGTCATCAGCAAATGTTATAATGGTGCTACTGGTGTGAATTGGAGAACAGTCATGGGTAAAAAATGAGTATAAGAGTGGACTGAAGACACACCCCTGTGGGATGCCTACGTTCAGATTGAGGGTGGAGGTGGTGTGCTCTCCCATCCTGACGTCCTGGGGTCTGTCACTCAGGAAGTCCAGTATCCAGTTTGCAGGGTTGAACTGTGTTGAAGGAGGATCTGAAGTCCACAAACAGCATCCTCATATAACTGTTACTACTGTCCAGATGTGTGAGGGTTGTGTGAAGAACTGTTATGTCAACCTCTGTTGACCTGTTTGCCCTGTATGCAAACTGGTATGAATTGAGATCTGCAGGAATGACAGCCCTAATGTGTGACATGATAAGTTTCTCAAAACATTTGGCGATTATTGGTGTTAAAGCAATTGGACAATAGTCATTCAAGCAGCTCACCGTGTTCTTCTTGGGCACTGGAACGATGGTGGCTGACTTAAAGCAGGATGATACTACAGACTGTAGCAGTGAGAGGTTGAAGATGGTGGTGAAAACCTCTGCTAGTTGGTCTGCACATGCCTTAAGCACTCTTCCTGCTACACTGTCTGGACAAGCTGCTTTCCTCGCATTGACTCTGCGCAGTGTGGTTCTGACCTGATGCTGCTCCAGCTGGATGAGGATATTGTCCCTCCTGCTACTGGTATCACTGTTTAGTTTGCTCAAAGCGAGCAAAGAACTGGTTTAGGGTGTCGGGTAAGGTGATATCCGGAGAGTTTGTTTGTGTGCGATTATCTGTGTAGCCAGTAAGTGTCTTGATCCCCTGCCACTGGTTTCTGGAGTTGTTTTGTTGAAATTATGCTGACCTCACTAAAGTTTGTTGCAGGCAACGTAATTTCAGCTATACAGCTAGCTTAACATTCTTTATTCCCAGCACTTCATCCTCCAAGAAACAGGCCGCTTGTTGTGTTTGGCAGGATTTAATGATGAAAATAAACTGTCTCTCTCTTTTATATGTAAAACCGTACAAAAAAAAGGAATACAAAATACACAATGAAGACATGTTCCATTACACTGGAGAATAACATTGCTCTAGTGAAAGATACATGACCACAAATGAAGCATCTGCTGAAAAAATACAAGAATCTACCTTACCCTATTGCCATCAGATTACAATTTTTTTCACTGCAGCAGCAGAAGAGCACACTACTTCCTGTAGACCACTTCCTCTACAAAAAAGACATTCTGCTTAGTTACCACTAGGTGGTAGTAACACTTCTAAACAACTATAATATGTCCGTTCCATGACACAAATGTTCCTCGATATGCTGTTTGCATTTGCGCTTGGCTTTTTTCAGCCCTTTAGCAGAGATTGACGTGCCTATTTGTATGCTTGTTGATCTCCTGATTTGAAGACATTGTCACATGCTCTTAATAGAGATCACACCTCGCTGTTGAGACATGGCTTCTGGTTTGGGAACACTTTAACAGTCTTTGTTGTTGTTACACTCTCAGTACAAAAGTTGTATGAGAGTATGGCAGATGTGTGGCCCTCCAAGTCTGATCCTTCAGCAAATATACCCAAAACCATGTTGTCAAAACAGTCCTGTAGGGCTGTGGTGGCTTCCACGGTCCACACTTGTACTGTTTTTACAAATGGTCTGTGTCTGAATTAGAGGTTTACAGTGAGGAACATAAGTATTTGAACACCCTGCGATTTTGCAAGTTCTCCCACTTAGAAATCATGGAGGGGTGTGAAATTCACATTGTAGGTGCATTCCCATTGTGAGAGACAGCATTAAAAAAAAAAATTCAAGAATTCATTGTTTGATTTTTAAAGAATTTATTTGTATTGCACTGCTGCACATAAGTACCTGGCAATCAGCAAGAATTCTGGCTCTCAAATACCTGTTAATATGTCTTTCAAAAGTCCACTCCTACTCCACTTATTAATCTAAATTAGTAGCCACTGTCTGAGCTCTTTAAAGACACCTGTCCACCCAACAGTCAGTCAGACTCCAACTACTACGATAGGCAAGACCAAAGAGCTGTCAAAAGACATCAGAGACAAAATTGTGGACCTCCACAAGGCTGCAAAGGGCTACGTGGCAATTGCCAAGCAGCTTGGTGAAAATATATCAACTGTTGGTGCAATTGTTAGAAAATGGAAGAGGCTAAAGACGACTGTCAGTCTCCCTCGGACTGGGGCTCCATGGAAGATCTCACCTTTTGGGGTATCACTGATGATAAGAAAGGTGAGCCCAGAACTGCACTGGAGGAGCTGGTCAATGACATGAATAGAGCTGGGACCACGGTGTCAAAGGTCAGTGTCGGTAGAACACTA